TATTCAAAATAATGTTTTTTGAGTCGAGTCTCTTTAATGATTTCACATAAAATTAATATTTGAAATTAAAATATTAACACACCTGAATGCATTTCGAATTGTATACAATTCATCATCAGCATCACGACTAAACAGCAAAGTGTTTTACTCACTCGAACATCCCATCACATTTTCTTGCGGCACACTCACATATAGAACGAACGCTTTGTCACGAACACAATAGAAAAAAGAGACGATACTGTTTTTAACAACAATTAAATTAGACGGTCAATGAGGCTCGATGTAATATTGCCTTCGTCTAAATTCAATGCGTTCGGATCTCTCTTTATGTAATAGTATTCGTAGGCATCGAGTCTTCGTTCGTCGTTGATTTGCTTCTCAAGCGAAACGTTGTCGATACCAATGTCATAGTGTTCGTTTATCAACGCATGTAATGCGACAGCTGATTTGCTCGGTGTGTTGTTCTTGATACACCGGCAGTGCTCGCCAACACGCACTTCAACCGACCGTTTCGTTTGTCCATAATACACACGATTACAAACACCACATTTCACACTATAAACACCCGACTTTTTTAAAAAAGGTGTTTTGTCTTTAGTTGAACCCAGTAAATTTGACAATTTATTTCCACTTTTGTAAACAAATTGCATGTGGAATTCTTTGAATTTTGATTTTAACTTGTTTGTTATGCTGGGTACAAACGACACTGACACTCGTTTATGTTCATTTTCTTCTTTTTGTGAGAATAACGTGGAAAGGTTCGATTTTCTCACTTTTTCCGAATGTTTGTAAACGATTGTGTCCACCAAATTTTCGTCGTAGCCATTAACTTTCGCGATTTGTTTTATGTGGTCGTATTCTTTTTTGTAATCGGCCACCGATAACGGTAATCGACACAAACGGTGAATCATACTATGAAAACCGGCTAATTTATGTTGAATTGCACAATGAGATGTGTTTGGGATCGCTCTTTTTGTAGAAGTTTCTTTGTGATAAACGCCGATTCTAATTTTATCATTAACTCGCGATAGTTCAAGATCCAAAAACGCGAGTTTTCCGTCACTTTCTTTTTCTACCGTGAAATTAATTGATTCAAAACGACTATTTAACACATTCAACATCATTTCCACTTCATCTTTTTGTACAATCGCGAAAACGTCGTCAACATAACGCCACCAAATTCTAGGGAGAAGGTTTTCACTTTTTAATTTTGTTTCAAATGCTGACATAAACACTTCGGAAATTAATGGACTGATGGGATTGCCCATATTCGTGCCCTTTTCCACCTTGTAGAATTTTTCACGAAACTGGAAGTAATTATGATCCATGCATTTTTTAGCGACCATTCTGTACACTTGTTTTTCTTCTTCCTTTAAATTTGTTGTTTCTAAGTAATCACGAAAATCACCGAGTGCTTCTTTTATCGGTATGCTTGGAAACAAAGAAGCAACATCAAATGAAATCATAATTTCATTGTCATTTACCACTACATTCTTTATTTTTTCCACAAAGTCAAACGAATTTTTAACTGATTGGCTTGGCCAAGACGGCAATTTTTTCACTTCTTTCACAAGCCATTTGGCCATTTTATAAATTGGCGTGTTAATGTTTGACACAATCGGTCGCATTTTTTCACCAACTTTGTGAATTTTCGGTAAAGCGTACAGTTTTGCCATCATTGGGTTCGATACAATAAGAGTTCTTAAATAACGTTTGCCGAAAACTTTGCTAACTTCTTTTCTCAAATCATCGCACTCACGAGTCATTTTGAGCAAGGGGGGCCTTTTTACTTCTTTGTACGAGCATTCATTAATTAATTCGAGAACTCTTTTTTCGTAGTCAGCTGAGTCAAGTATAACTATTTTGTTTCCTTTATCAGCTTTTACGTACACGCAGTCTTTTTCTTGTCGTTTGTACCCAGCATAACAAACAAGTTAAAATCAAAATTCAAAGAATTCCACATGCAATTTGTTTTTTAAAAGTGGAAATAAATTGTCAAATTTACTGGGTTCAACTAAAGACAAAACACCTTTTTTAAAAAAGTCGGGTGTTTATAGTGTGAAATGTGGTGTTTGTAATCGTGTATATTATGGACAAACGAAACGGTCGGTTGAAGTGCGTGTTGGCGAGCACTGCCGGTGTATCAAGAACAACACACCGAGCAAATCAGCTGTCGCATTACATGCGTTGATAAACGAACACTATGACATTGGTATCGACAACGTTTCGCTTGAGAAGCAAATCAACGACGAACGAAGACTCGATGCCTACGAATACTATTACATAAAGAGAGATCCGAACGCATTGAATTTAGACGAAGGCAATATTACATCGAGCCTCATTGACCGTCTAATTTAATTGTTGTTAAAAACAGTATCGTCTCTTTTTTCTATTGTGTTCGTGACAAAGCGTTCGTTCTATATGTGAGTGTGCCGCAAGAAAATGTGATGGGATGTTCGAGTGAGTAAAACACTTTGCTGTTTAGTCGTGATGCTGATGATGAATTGTATACAATTCGAAATGCATTCAGGTGTGTTAATATTTTAATTTCAAATATTAATTTTATGTGAAATCATTAAAGAGACTCGACTCAAAAAACATTATTTTGAATATTGATGGATTTCACGTCAGATTCCAAAAAACAATCAATCCTCAAAGTTAGTTAAATACTAATTTGAAAATTAGAAATCACACAAAAATATCTTCTTTTCTCTGAATTAAATACTCTATAATCTTACCCATTGTTTGACTTTCAGTGTAAGAAAACTGTTGAAAATGAAAGCACAGTCTACTATGATTCGAACACAGCAACGTTCAGCAGAGGAAAGAAAGAGTTGTTCAGATGAATATTCAAATCTTGGAAAATTTGCCGAAATGACTTCGGGTAGGGCGATTTCAATTGTAGATTTTATGTACTTTAATGTAGTGTTTTTACTTTTTTTATGTAGGAAGAATTTTTTTGAGTAATCAGCTATCGAAAAACTGCTATAAAATGGGACAACTCAAATCTTGGTCAAAAAACGTATTTTTCACAAATCGAATTTTTTTTCGAATGAAGAATGGTTCCAAAAAA